CTGCACGGTCACGGGGACAGTGCATCCTGCTTCCTTCTCCCAGGGAAGACGCAGGGGTGTGAAGGTGCGGTCTGCACCCAGCTCTGCATGGGTTGTGATTCAGAGCAACATCCGCCAGGCCCAGGGTTCTGCGTGCCTGGGACAGTGACTCTGCAGCCTGAGAGGGGCAGCACCCAGCCTGCCCACACTGCTCCCCACACTGCTTCCCACAGCTGTGGGGAAATGCTGGTTGGGGAGACAGACACCGGTCAGGGCAGGTTCATTCTCCTGCCAAGAGGCTGCTGCATGCGTGAAGTCTGCTCACAGCTCCAGCTCATACACAGGGCATGTGCGAGGGGTCCTTTACAGCAGAAGATCAAGAGAAGGGCTACTTGGAAGTCAAGGAGCTTTCCTTTGTGTTTCTGCTCTTTCAGTCTCATTATGGCAGGGAGAATGAAGGAACAAGCTTTCTGTTTTGACAAAGAAGTGGTAGTCCTAAACCTTCACTCTGAAAGATTAACAGGTGTGCTCAATACTTGCTCAATGGGTACATATGTCAGTCCCAATAACTGTCCCATGTGTACCCACTTGTGATTCCCATATACCTGGCCTCAAGCTTGTCCTCTTCATTTCTTTCTTTCTCTATTTTTATTCTTATATTCTTGATCAAATAATAATAAACCTCAAAGGAAAGGGCTCCAGAGCAGAAGCTCGTGTCAGGGGACCTCACCTGGATCATGGCCAAAGCTGTGAAGCAGGAAAGGTAGCTGAGAGTAACAGAAAAAGCCACCTGCTTAACAGATGACTAAGAGGCTTATGTCAGCGGTTGATCTATTTATTTATTTATTTATTCATTCATTCCTTTTGCAGGCTCTTCAGAAGGGACAGGCAAGGAAGCAAATGGATTGAGTTGCAATGAGTGTTAGGGAGTGCTTTGAATGCATGGAGCTCCAAGCAGGTGATGGAAATGCTTATGGGTCAGGATCAGGTGGAAGGCCAACAAGGATGATATCCTGATGAGAGTCTGCTACAAGCCACCCAAACAGGATGGAGAAACAGACAAGGCATTCTAACAAGCAGGGGACAGAAGTCTCATGATTGGCAGTGCTTGCTCTTGTGGGAAACTTCAGCCTACCAGATGTTTGTTGGAAATATAATAAGGCAGAGATGAAACAGTCTAGGAAATTTGTGGAGTTTATGGGAGATAACATCCTAGCAAAGCTAGTAAACTTACAAGGGGAGGAGCCCCGCTGGACCTGCTCTTTTCCAAGAGAGAAGGACTGGTGGGAGATGTGGTGGTTGGATGTCATCTTGGGCATAGTTTTCAAATCTTGGTCAAGTCAAGAGGGGACTTGACTTCCTGGTGGGGGAATCTGACAATCTGAAGGGCAATGGAGCTTAGGAAAGCTACCAGGTCTTTAAAGACCACAGCCACCCAGCACAAGGTGGGTGGTCCGTAACGATGCTCATTAAAACTAGAAGACACCTTGGGAGATCAGCTTGGCTACACAGGAAAATATGGTCTACTTGGTAGGGATGGTGTTCCAATAAGGACAAAAACCAGGTCCTGCCCTCGGGACAGACCAACCCTTCCAAGGATGTGGACTGGGGAATGTTTTCCTCTACAGTGCCTGGAATAAGGGTGCAGATTGTAAAGTGGCATGAGGATAAGGTCTACCTTTAAACATCTGGACATGTAGAAAGGGTAAGGTGAATCCTTGTTTGCATTCTCCCTTACCGCAGGGGGTTCTGGTGTGAGAGATTCAGATACAAATATCTCTGTTGAGGAGGGCAAGATTGATGGGGGTGAATCCCTCACAGAGCTCTTCTCCTTCAGACACAACTGATGTGAGGGCTGTATTCAACTCTGATGCTGGTGAATCAAGAATATGCCCGCTGGGTCTCTGGACCAAGTCCCTTCCAAGCAGTGCAAGATGCCATTCCCAGGCATCTCCACAAATATCAGTCAAAGAATAGCTTGACACATCCATTTAGACCTGCAGCACAGCAGAAACAACTCCTTTGGATCTATAGGCAGGGCTCCCTGCTGCATGTGACACACACAGGCAATTCGTAGAGGAGCACCTGAAAGGGAGCTGAAATAAGGGAGAGAAAGTGTGGGGAATTCCCTGAGACACTGAAATGGCTTGGCTCAGGCAAGCCTGATCTAACTTCTGTCTTTCTCTCCTTCCTTGGACAGGACTCCTGTGCCCCTAAGGAACTGATGTCCAACAACACCAGCTCCCTCAATGAGTTCCTCCTTGCGGTATTCTCAGACAGGTGGGAGCTGCAGCTCTTGCACTTCTCGCTCTTTCTGGGCATCTACCTGGCTGCCCTCCTGGTCAACGGCCTCATCATCACAGCTGTAGCCTGTGACCACATCCCCATGTACACCCCCACCTCCACAGGCCCAGGTACTTCTTCCTCCTCAACCTCTCCCTCCTTGACCTGAGCTCCATCTCCACCACTCTGCCCAAATCCCTGGTCAATTCCCTATCGCACAACAAGATCATTTCCTACTAAAGATGTGCTGTCCAGATCTTCTTGGTAACACTCTTATTTTCAACACAGTATTCTCTCCTCACAGTTATGGCCTATGACCGCTACAATGCCATCTGCAGACCCTGGTATTGCACAACCATCATGAGCAGCAGAGCTTTTGTTATAATGGCAGCAGCTGCCTGGGCCAGTGGCTTTCTCCATGCTCTTCTGCACACTGGGAACACATTTTCCATTCCGCTCTGCCAAGGCAATGTGGTAGAGCAGTGCATAGAATCATAGAATAGAATCATAGAATGCTTAAGGTTGATAGGGACTGCTAGAGGTCATCTAATCCAACCCGGTCATCTAACCCACCCCCCCTGCCCCCGCAGGGTCACCTGGAGCATGTGGCACAGGACTGCGTCCAAGCGGGTTTGGAAGATCTCCAGAGGAGACTCCACGACCTTTCTGGGCAGTTTGTTCCAGCGCTCTGTCACCCTCACTGTTAAAAATTTTTTCCTTAAGTTCCTGTGGAACTTTTGGTGCTTTGGTTTGTGGCCATTACCTCTAGTTCTGTCGGTGGCCACCAGTGAAAGAGACCAGCACCTTCCTCTTCACTCCCTCCCTTGAGGTACTTATAGACACTGATTAGATCCCCTCTCAGCCTTCTCTTCTCCAGGCTAAACAGGCCCAGCTCCCTCAGCCTCTCCTCATAGGGCAGATGTCATTGATGAATAAAGGTCATTTATGAAAAAATTGAACAGGACTGGACCAAGGACTGGCCCCTGGGGAACCCCGCTAGCTACAGGTCTCCAACTAGACTTGGCACCACTGATCACCACCCTCTGAGCTCTACCATCCAGACAGTTCCTAATCCACCTCACTGTGCACTCATCTATCCCACATTTCCAGAGCTTGCCCAGGAGGATGTTGTGAGGGAC